AAACTGGAACAAAATATGTAAGTACAGGAAAAAACTTTTTCATCATGATGTATTTTTTTTTTCTTATGTTTTGGATGGGTTGTATTTAATACTTTTTCATTCTTCATTGTTTCTCTATGTACACATGCTAACTTTTCTATGTATAGCACCTATGATTTTAATAGCTATCCCATTATTTAATTTCACAATCATTGGGTGTTATTTAAAATGTGTGAAGTTCATCACTGAATACTGCTAAAGTTATCGAAGAGTACAATTAGATGCTTTCTCATCAAAAGCTTTGTTATGATGAGGTTACATAAGTTTGTACTATTTTGTAGGGTTTTTGTTCCAAACACAGTCCATCACAAAGAAACGAAAATATATTAGAATTCTGAAGGGTTCTTTTTATTTTGGGGGTCTATATTTTGTAGGCAAGAAGATGTGAGGACGAAAGGAAGCAGGCCAGAAACAGGAGAGAATAAAATCAGTAAAATCTACAATAGTGCTCGCAGAGGACCACCTAAATCAGACAGTCCTTCATCTGCAGCATCTCGGGGCCGTGCCCACTGCCCATTGGGGCAGCCCATTCCATGCCCACCGCTCTCTGGTGCAGGCCCTTTCCCTGACCCCCAGCCGCCCCTGGGGCCCCCTGCCACAGCTCCATGCCGTTCCCTCGGGCCCTGTCGCTGTCACCAGGCAGCACAGCTCAGCGCTGCCCTCCGCTCCCTGTCAGGAGCTGCAGCCGCCATGAGGGCTGCCCTCAACCTGCTCTGCTGTGGGCTGAGCACAGCCACGGTGCTCAGCTGCTCCTCAAACACTGTGCCCTCAGATCCTCCTCCATCTCTGGAGCCCTCCTTTGGACACTCTCTCCTCGCATCCTATGGAGTGGCACCCCAACCTGCACCCAGCGCTGCAGGCGAGGCCGCACAGCGCAGAGCAGAGCGGGACGGCCGCTTCCCTCGCCTGCCAGTGCTGGGCCTGACGCACCCCAGGGCACGGTTGACCCTTCTGAGTGCCAGGCGCACGGCCGCCTCAGATGCAATTTGCCGTCAAACCAGATCCCTTTTGGCCAGGCTGCGCTCCAGAACTTCACCCCTGATGTCTGCACACAGAGCCAGGGCACCCCATCCCAGGAGCAGAACCCAGCGCTCGCCCTTCTTTGTACAGATGGGAACCACCCTCATTTTGTCCAGATCTCAAGGCAAGGCCTCTTTATCCTCAAGGAGGTCAAAACTGCTCCCAGCGTAGCATCATCCACAAACTCATTGATACACCTAACAGATCTTTATTGGAACCGTAAAAACAGTATAGAGAAATGGCCTGGAAATGGAGCCCCACAGAATCCCAGCGGTGACACATAGGGCAACTGTCAGGACAAAGTCACCCAATCCTCCAGTGCAGCCATGTTTTAATTGTCAAGGAACATTCTAAGGCAGGCATAACCAAGGCTTTATGATGCCATCAGTCACCTCCCTCAGAAAAGCTCCAAATAAGGGAACCCTGACAACACAATACCAGCTGTGATGCAAGGCAGCCAGCCAGCCAAGGCAGGCAGGCAGGGGCCAGGACTCCAGCCAGCCAGCCAAGGCAGGCAGGCAGGGGCCAGGACTCCAGCCAGCCAGCCAGCCAAGGCAGGCAGGCATGGGCCAGGACTCCAGCCAGCCAGCCAGCCAAGGCAGGCAGGCAGGGGCCAGGAGTCCAGCCAGCCAGCCAAGGCAGGCAGGCAGGGGCCAGGACTCCAGCCAGCCAGCCAGCCAAGGCAGGCAGGCAGGGGCCAGGACTCCAGCCAGCCAGCCAGCCAAGGCAGGCAGGCAGGGGCCAGGAGTCCAGCCAGCCAGCCAAGGCAGGCAGGCAGGGGCCAGGACTCCAGCCAGCCAGCCAGCCAAGGCAGGCAGGCATGGGCCAGGACTCCAGCCAGCCAGCCAAGGCAGGCAGGCAGGGCCGACGAGTCCAGCCAGCCAGCCAAGGCTACAGGCAGGGGCCAGGACTCCAGCCAGCCAGCCAAGGCAGGGAGGCATGGGCCAGGACTCCAGCCAGCCAGCCAAGGCAGGAAGGCAAGGGCCAGGACTCCAGCCAGCCAACCAAGGCAGGCAGGCAGGGGCCAGGACTCCAGCCAGCCAGCCAAGGCAGGAAGGCAAGGGCCAGGACTCCAGCCAGCCAGCCAAGGCAGGCAGGCAGGGGGCAGGACTCCAGCCAGCCAGCCAAGGCAGGCAGGCAGGGGGCAGGACTCCAGCCAGCCAGCCAAGGCAGGAAGGCAAGGGCCAGGACTCCAGCCAGCCAGCCAAGGCAGGCAGGTAGGGGCCAGGACTCTAGCCAGCCAGCCAAGGCAGGCAGGCAGGGGCCCACGACTCCAGCCAGCCAGCCAAGGCAGGCAGGTAGGGGCCAGGACTCTAGCCAGCCAGCCAAGGCTACAGGCAGGGGCCAGGACTCCAGCCAGCCAGCCAAGGCAGGCAGGCACGGGGCAGGACTCCAGCCAGCCAGCCAAGGCAGGCAGGCAGGGTCACGGCTCCAGCCTGGAAGCCATGGCAGGCAGGCAGGGGCCAGGACTCCAGCCAGCCAGCCAAGGCAGGCAGGCAGGGGCCACGACTCCAGCCGACATAAGCAGGGACGACGATTCTAGCCTTCATGTGAAATAAGGAAATAAAGAAATAAAAGTGAATTAGCAATGCTTGGCCTTGCCTGGTTTCTCCATACGATGCTGGGGCAGATTCTCCCCATAACAAATTTTTTGAGATATGGCTAATTGGGCTTTTTTTGTCTTTTTTGTTTGTTTGTTTGTTTTTGTTTTTGTTTTGTTCTGTTTTGGTATATATGAAGGCACTGTCTTATAACACGTCAACTTCTTGGAGTGGGTCCAGAGGAGGGCCACTAAGATGATCAGAGGGCTGGAGCACCAGTCCTATGAAGAAAGGTTGAAGGAACTGCGCTTGTTTAGCTTGGAGAAGAGAAGGCTCCAGGGCCTTCCAGTACTTGAGGGGAGCGTATAAAGAGGAGGGGAATGGCTGATTATGAGGGTCGCAGTGCTAGGACAAGGGGGAATGGTCTTAAACTGAGACAGGGCAGGTTTCAGTTAGATATCAAAAGGAAGCTTTTCACACAGAGGGTGGTGATGCACAGGTTGCCCAAGGAGGTTGTGGATGCCCCCTCCCTGGAAGCATTCAAGGCCAGGCCGGATGTGGCTCTGGGCAGCCTGGTCTGGTGGTTGACGATCCCGCACACAGCAGGGGGGTTGAAACTACATCATCATTGAGGTCCTTTCCAACGCAGGCAATTCTATGATCCTAGGATGGTATGGATATGTGCAGTTGGAAGGGTCCCCCAAGGATCAGCAAGTCCAACCCCTCACTCCGCAGAGGACCACCTAAATCAGACAGTCCTTCATCTGCAGCATCTCGGGGCCGTGCCCACTGCCCATTGGGGCAGCCCATTCCATGCCCACCGCTCTCTGGTGCAGGCCCTTTCCCTGACCCCCAGCCGCCCCTGGGGCCCCCTGCCACAGCTCCATGCCGTTCCCTCGGGCCCTGTCGCTGTCACCAGGCAGCACAGCTCAGCGCTGCCCTCCGCTCCCTGTCAGGAGCTGCAGCCGCCATGAGGGCTGCCCTCAACCTGCTCTGCTGTGGGCTGAGCACAGCCACGGTGCTCAGCTGCTCCTCAAACACTGTGCCCTCAGATCCTCCTCCATCTCTGGAGCCCTCCTTTGGACACTCTCTCCTCGCATCCTATGGAGTGGCACCCCAACCTGCACCCAGCGCTGCAGGCGAGGCCGCACAGCGCAGAGCAGAGCGGGACGGCCGCTTCCCTCGCCTGCCAGTGCTGGGCCTGACGCACCCCAGGGCACGGTTGACCCTTCTGAGTGCCAGGCGCACGGCCGCCTCAGATGCAATTTGCCGTCAAACCAGATCCCTTTTGGCCAGGCTGCGCTCCAGAACTTCACCCCTGATGTCTGCACACAGAGCCAGGGCACCCCATCCCAGGAGCAGAACCCAGCGCTCGCCCTTCTTTGTACAGATGGGAACCACCCTCATTTTGTCCAGATCTCAAGGCAAGGCCTCTTTATCCTCAAGGAGGTCAAAACTGCTCCCAGCGTAGCATCATCCACAAACTCATTGATACACCTAACAGATCTTTATTGGAACCGTAAAAACAGTATAGAGAAATGGCCTGGAAATGGAGCCCCACAGAATCCCAGCGGTGACACATAGGGCAACTGTCAGGACAAAGTCACCCAATCCTCCAGTGCAGCCATGTTTTAATTGTCAAGGAACATTCTAAGGCAGGCATAACCAAGGCTTTATGATGCCATCAGTCACCTCCCTCAGAAAAGCTCCAAATAAGGGAACCCTGACAACACAATACCAGCTGTGATGCAAGGCAGCCAGCCAGCCAAGGCAGGCAGGCAGGGGCCAGGACTCCAGCCAGCCAGCCAAGGCAGGCAGGCAGGGGTCACGACTCCAGCCAGCCAGCCAAGGCAGGCAGGCAGGGGCCAGGACTCCAGCCAGCCAGCCAAGGCAGGCAGGCAGGGGCCAGGACTCCAGCCAGCCAGCCAGCCAAGGCAGGCAGGCAGGGGCCAGGACTCCAGCCAGCCAGCCAAGGCAGGCAGGCAGGGGTCACGACTCCAGCCAGCCAGCCAGCCAAGGCAGGCAGGCAGGGGCCAGGACTCCAGCCAGCCAGCCAGCCAAGGCAGGCAGGCAAGGGCCAGGACTCCAGCCAGCCAGCCAAGGCAGGCAGGCAGGGCCCACGACTCCAGCCAGCCAGCCAAGGCAGGCAGGCAGGGGCCAGGACTCCAGGCAGCCAGCCAGCCAAGGCAGGCAGGCAGGGGCCAGGACTCCAGCCAGCCAGCCAAGGCAGGCAGGCAGGGGCCAGGACTCCAGCCAGCCAGCCAAGGCAGGCAGGCAGGGGCCAGGACTCCAGCCAGCCAGCCAGCCAAGGCAGGCAGGCAAGGGCCAGGACTCCAGCCAGCCAGCCAAGGCAGGCAGGCAGGGCCCACGACTCCAGCCAGCCAGCGAAGGCTACAGGCAGGGGCCAGGACTCCAGCCAGCCAGCCAAGGCAGGGAGGCAGGGGCCAGGACTCCAGCAAGCCAGCCAAGGCAGGCAGGCAGGGGTCACGACTCCAGCCTGGAAGCCACAGCAGGCAGGCAGGGGCCAGGACTCCAGCCAGCCTGCCAGCCAAGGCAGGCAGGCATGGGCCAGGACTCCAGCCAGCCAGCCAAGGCAGGAAGGCAGGGGGCAGGACTCCAGCCAGCCAGCCAAGGCAGGCAGGCAGGGGCCAGGACTCCAGCCAGCCAGCCAAGGCAGGAAGGCAAGGGCCAGGACTCCAGCCAGCCAGCCAAGGCAGGCAGGAAGGGGCCAGGACTCCAGCCAGCCAGCCAAGGCAGGAAGGCAAGGGCCAGGACTCCAGCCAGCCAGCCAAGGCAGGCAGGCAGGGGGCAGGACTCCAGCCAGCCAGCCAAGGCAGGCAGGCAGGGGCCAGGACTCCAGCCAGCCAGCCAAGGCAGGAAGGCAAGGGCCAGGACTCCAGCCAGCCAGCCAAGGCAGGCAGGTAGGGGCCAGGTCTCCAGCCAGCCAGCCAAGGCAGGCAGGCAGGGGCCAGGTCTCCAGCCAGCCAGCCAAGGCAGGCAGGCAGGGCCCACGACTCCAGCCAGCCAGCCAAGGCTGCAGGCATGGGCCAGGACTCCAGCCAGCCAGCCAAGGCAGGCAGGCAGGGTCACGGCTCCAGCCTGGAAGCCATGGCAGGCAGGCAGGGGCCAGGACTCCAGCCAGCCAGCCAAGGCAGGCAGGCAGGGGCCACGACTCCAGCCGACATAAGCAGGGACGACGATTCTAGCCTTCATGTGAAATAAGGAAATAAAGAAATAAAAGTGAATTAGCAATGCTTGGCCTTGCCTGGTTTCTCCATACGATGCTGGGGCAGATTCTCCCCATAACAAATTTTTTGAGATATGGCTAATTGGGCTTTTTTTGTCTTTTTTGTTTGTTTGTTTGTTTTTGTTTTTGTTTTGTTCTGTTTTGGTATATATTAAGGCACTGTCTTATAACACGTCAACTTCTTGGAGTGGGTCCAGAGGAGGGCCACTAAGATGATCAGAGGGCTGGAGCACCAGTCCTATGAAGAAAGGTTGAAGGAACTGCGCTTGTTTAGCTTGGAGAAGAGAAGGCTCCAGGGCCTTCCAGTACTTGAGGGGAGCGTATAAAGAGGAGGGGAATGGCTGATTATGAGGGTCGCAGTGCTAGGACAAGGGGGAATGGTCTTAAACTGAGACAGGGCAGGTTTCAGTTAGATATCAAAAGGAAGCTTTTCACACAGAGGGTGGTGATGCACAGGTTGCCCAAGGAGGTTGTGGATGCCCCCTCCCTGGAAGCATTCAAGGCCAGGCCGGATGTGGCTCTGGGCAGCCTGGTCTGGTGGTTGACGATCCTGCACACAGCAGGGGGGTTGAAACTACATCATCATTGAGGTCCTTTCCAACGCAGGCAATTCTATGATCCTAGGATGGTATGGATATGTGCAGTTGGAAGGGTCCCCCAAGGATCAGCAAGTCCAACCCCTCACTCCGCAGAGGACCACCTAAATCAGACAGTCCTTCATCTGCAGCATCTCGGGGCCGTGCCCACTGCCCATTGGGGCAGCTCATTCCATGCCCACCGCTCTCTGGTGCAGGCCCTTTCCCTGACCCCCAGCCGCCCCTGGGGCCCCCTGCCACAGCTCCATGCCGTTCCCTCGGGCCCTGTCGCTGTCACCAGGCAGCACAGCTCAGCGCTGCCCTCCGCTCCCTGTCAGGAGCTGCAGCCGCCATGAGGGCTGCCCTCAACCTGCTCTGCTGTGGGCTGAGCACAGCCACGGTGCTCAGCTGCTCCTCAAACACTGTGCCCTCAGATCCTCCTCCATCTCTGGAGCCCTCCTTTGGACACTCTCTCCTCGCATCCTATGGAGTGGCACCCCAACCTGCACCCAGCGCTGCAGGCGAGGCCGCACAGCGCAGAGCAGAGCGGGACGGCCGCTTCCCTCGCCTGCCAGTGCTGGGCCTGACGCACCCCAGGGCACGGTTGACCCTTCTGAGTGCCAGGCGCACGGCCGCCTCAGATGCAATTTGCCGTCAAACCAGATCCCTTTTGGCCAGGCTGCGCTCCAGAACTTCACCCCTGATGTCTGCACACAGAGCCAGGGCACCCCATCCCAGGAGCAGAACCCAGCGCTCGCCCTTCTTTGTACAGATGGGAACCACCCTCATTTTGTCCAGATCTCAAGGCAAGGCCTCTTTATCCTCAAGGAGGTCAAAACTGCTCCCAGCGTAGCATCATCCACAAACTCATTGATACACCTAACAGATCTTTATTGGAACCGTAAAAACAGTATAGAGAAATGGCCTGGAAATGGAGCCCCACAGAATCCCAGCGGTGACACATAGGGCAACTGTCAGGACAAAGTCACCCAATCCTCCAGTGCAGCCATGTTTTAATTGTCAAGGAACATTCTAAGGCAGGCATAACCAAGGCTTTATGATGCCATCAGTCACCTCCCTCAGAAAAGCTCCAAATAAGGGAACCCTGACAACACAATACCAGCTGTGATGCAAGGCAGCCAGCCAGCCAAGGCAGGCAGGCAGGGGCCAGGACTCCAGCCAGCCAGCCAAGGCAGGCAGGCAGGGGTCACGACTCCAGCCAGCCAGCCAAGGCAGGCAGGCAGGGGCCAGGACTCCAGCCAGCCAGCCAAGGCAGGCAGGCAGGGGCCAGGACTCCAGCCAGCCAGCCAGCCAAGGCAGGCAGGCAAGGGCCAGGACTCCAGCCAGCCAGCCAAGGCAGGCAGGCAGGGCCCACGACTCCAGCCAGCCAGCCAAGGCAGGCAGGCAGGGGCCAGGACTCCAGCCAGCCAGCCAGCCAAGGCAGGCAGGCATGGGCCAGGACTCCAGCCAGCCAGCCAAGGCAGGCAGGCAGGGGTCACGACTCCAGCCAGCCAGCCAAGGCAGGCAGGCAGGGGCCAGGACTCCAGCCAGCCAGCCAGCCAAGGCAGGCAGGCAAGGGCCAGGACTCCAGCCAGCCAGCCAAGGCAGGCAGGCAGGGCCCACGACTCCAGCCAGCCAGCCAAGGCTACAGGCAGGGGCCAGGACTCCAGCCAGCCAGCCAAGGCAGGGAGGCAGGGGCCAGGACTCCAGCAAGCCAGCCAAGGCAGGCAGGCAGGGGTCACGACTCCAGCCTGGAAGCCACAGCAGGCAGGCAGGGGCCAGGACTCCAGCCAGCCTGCCAGCCAAGGCAGGCAGGCATGGGCCAGGACTCCAGCCAGCCAGCCAAGGCAGGAAGGCAGGGGGCAGGACTCCAGCCAGCCAGCCAAGGCAGGCAGGCAGGGGCCAGGACTCCAGCCAGCCAGCCAAGGCAGGAAGGCAAGGGCCAGGACTCCAGCCAGCCAGCCAAGGCAGGCAGGAAGGGGCCAGGACTCCAGCCAGCCAGCCAAGGCAGGCAGGCAGGGGCCAGGACTCCAGCCAGCCAGCCAAGGCAGGAAGGCAAGGGCCAGGACTCCAGCCAGCCAGCCAAGGCAGGAAGGCAAGGGCCAGGACTCCAGCCAGCCAGCCAAGGCAGGAAGGCAAGGGCCAGGACTCCAGCCAGCCAGCCAAGGCAGGCAGGTAGGGGCCAGGTCTCCAGCCAGCCAGCCAAGGCAGGCAGGCAGGGCCCACGACTCCAGCCAGCCAGCCAAGGCTGCAGGCATGGGCCAGGACTCCAGCCAGCCAGCCAAGGCAGGCAGGCAGGGTCACGGCTCCAGCCTGGAAGCCATGGCAGGCAGGCAGGGGCCAGGACTCCAGCCAGCCAGCCAAGGCAGGCAGGCAGGGGCCACGACTCCAGCCGACATAAGCAGGGACGACGATTCTAGCCTTCATGTGAAATAAGGAAATAAAGAAATAAAAGTGAATTAGCAATGCTTGGCCTTGCCTGGTTTCTCCATACGATGCTGGGGCAGATTCTCCCCATAACAAATTTTTTGAGATATGGCTAATTGGGCTTTTTTTGTCTTTTTTGTTTGTTTGTTTGTTTTTGTTTTTGTTTTGTTCTGTTTTGGTATATATTAAGGCACTGTCTTATAACACGTCAACTTCTTGGAGTGGGTCCAGAGGAGGGCCACTAAGATGATCAGAGGGCTGGAGCACCAGTCCTATGAAGAAAGGTTGAAGGAACTGCGCTTGTTTAGCTTGGAGAAGAGAAGGCTCCAGGGCCTTCCAGTACTTGAGGGGAGCGTATAAAGAGGAGGGGAATGGCTGATTATGAGGGTCGCAGTGCTAGGACAAGGGGGAATGGTCTTAAACTGAGACAGGGCAGGTTTCAGTTAGATATCAAAAGGAAGCTTTTCACACAGAGGGTGGTGATGCACAGGTTGCCCAAGGAGGTTGTGGATGCCCCCTCCCTGGAAGCATTCAAGGCCAGGCCGGATGTGGCTCTGGGCAGCCTGGTCTGGTGGTTGACGATCCCGCACACAGCAGGGGGGTTGAAACTACATCATCATTGAGGTCCTTTCCAACGCAGGCAATTCTATGATCCTAGGATGGTATGGATATGTGCAGTTGGAAGGGTCCCCCAAGGATCAGCAAGTCCAACCCCTCACTCCGCAGAGGACACCTAAATCAGACAGTCCTTCATCTGCAGCATCTCGGGGCCGTGCCCACTGCCCATTGGGGCAGCTCATTCCATGCCCACCGCTCTCTGGTGCAGGCCCTTTCCCTGACCCCCAGCCGCCCCTGGGGCCCCCTGCCACAGCTCCATGCCGTTCCCTCGGGCCCTGTCGCTGTCACCAGGCAGCACAGCTCAGCGCTGCCCTCCGCTCCCTGTCAGGAGCTGCAGCCGCCATGAGGGCTGCCCTCAACCTGCTCTGCTGTGGGCTGAGCACAGCCACGGTGCTCAGCTGCTCCTCAAACACTGTGCCCTCAGATCCTCCTCCATCTCTGGAGCCCTCCTTTGGACACTCTCTCCTCGCATCCTATGGAGTGGCACCCCAACCTGCACCCAGCGCTGCAGGCGAGGCCGCACAGCGCAGAGCAGAGCGGGACGGCCGCTTCCCTCGCCTGCCAGTGCTGGGCCTGACGCACCCCAGGGCACGGTTGACCCTTCTGAGTGCCAGGCGCACGGCCGCCTCAGATGCAATTTGCCGTCAAACCAGATCCCTTTTGGCCAGGCTGCGCTCCAGAACTTCACCCCTGATGTCTGCACACAGAGCCAGGGCACCCCATCCCAGGAGCAGAACCCAGCGCTCGCCCTTCTTTGTACAGATGGGAACCACCCTCATTTTGTCCAGATCTCAAGGCAAGGCCTCTTTATCCTCAAGGAGGTCAGAACTGCTCCCAGCGTAGCATCATCCACAAACTCATTGATACACCTAACAGATCTTTATTGGAACCGTAAAAACAGTATAGAGAAATGGCCTGGAAATGGAGCCCCACAGAATCCCAGCGGTGACACATAGGGCAACTGTCAGGACAAAGTCACCCAATCCTCCAGTGCAGCCATGTTTTAATTGTCAAGGAACATTCTAAGGCAGGCATAACCAAGGCTTTATGATGCCATCAGTCACCTCCCTCAGAAAAGCTCCAAATAAGGGAACCCTGACAACACAATACCAGCTGTGATGCAAGGCAGCCAGCCAGCCAAGGCAGGCAGGCAGGGGCCAGGACTCCAGCCAGCCAGCCAAGGCAGGCAGGCAGGGGTCACGACTCCAGCCAGCCAGCCAAGGCAGGCAGGCAGGGGCCAGGACTCCAGCCAGCCAGCCAAGGCAGGCAGGCAGGGGCCAGGACTCCAGCCAGCCAGCCAGCCAAGGCAGGCAGGCAGGGGCCAGGACTCCAGCCAGCCAGCCAAGGCAGGCAGGCAGGGGTCACGACTCCAGCCAGCCAGCCAGCCAAGGCAGGCAGGCAGGGGCCAGGACTCCAGCCAGCCAGCCAGCCAAGGCAGGCAGGCAAGGGCCAGGACTCCAGCCAGCCAGCCAAGGCAGGCAGGCAGGGCCCACGACTCCAGCCAGCCAGCCAAGGCAGGCAGGCAGGGGCCAGGACTCCAGGCAGCCAGCCAGCCAAGGCAGGCAGGCAGGGGCCAGGACTCCAGCCAGCCAGCCAAGGCAGGCAGGCAGGGGCCAGGACTCCAGCCAGCCAGCCAAGGCAGGCAGGCAGGGGCCAGGACTCCAGCCAGCCAGCCAGCCAAGGCAGGCAGGCAAGGGCCAGGACTCCAGCCAGCCAGCCAAGGCAGGCAGGCAGGGCCCACGACTCCAGCCAGCCAGCGAAGGCTACAGGCAGGGGCCAGGACTCCAGCCAGCCAGCCAAGGCAGGGAGGCAGGGGCCAGGACTCCAGCAAGCCAGCCAAGGCAGGCAGGCAGGGGTCACGACTCCAGCCTGGAAGCCACAGCAGGCAGGCAGGGGCCAGGACTCCAGCCAGCCTGCCAGCCAAGGCAGGCAGGCATGGGCCAGGACTCCAGCCAGCCAGCCAAGGCAGGAAGGCAGGGGGCAGGACTCCAGCCAGCCAGCCAAGGCAGGCAGGCAGGGGCCAGGACTCCAGCCAGCCAGCCAAGGCAGGAAGGCAAGGGCCAGGACTCCAGCCAGCCAGCCAAGGCAGGCAGGAAGGGGCCAGGACTCCAGCCAGCCAGCCAAGGCAGGAAGGCAAGGGCCAGGACTCCAGCCAGCCAGCCAAGGCAGGCAGGCAGGGGGCAGGACTCCAGCCAGCCAGCCAAGGCAGGCAGGCAGGGGCCAGGACTCCAGCCAGCCAGCCAAGGCAGGAAGGCAAGGGCCAGGACTCCAGCCAGCCAGCCAAGGCAGGCAGGTAGGGGCCAGGTCTCCAGCCAGCCAGCCAAGGCAGGCAGGCAGGGGCCAGGTCTCCAGCCAGCCAGCCAAGGCAGGCAGGCAGGGCCCACGACTCCAGCCAGCCAGCCAAGGCTGCAGGCATGGGCCAGGACTCCAGCCAGCCAGCCAAGGCAGGCAGGCAGGGTCACGGCTCCAGCCTGGAAGCCATGGCAGGCAGGCAGGGGCCAGGACTCCAGCCAGCCAGCCAAGGCAGGCAGGCAGGGGCCACGACTCCAGCCGACATAAGCAGGGACGACGATTCTAGCCTTCATGTGAAATAAGGAAATAAAGAAATAAAAGTGAATTAGCAATGCTTGGCCTTGCCTGGTTTCTCCATACGATGCTGGGGCAGATTCTCCCCATAACAAATTTTTTGAGATATGGCTAATTGGGCTTTTTTTGTCTTTTTTGTTTGTTTGTTTGTTTTTGTTTTTGTTTTGTTCTGTTTTGGTATATATTAAGGCACTGTCTTATAACACGTCAACTTCTTGGAGTGGGTCCAGAGGAGGGCCACTAAGATGATCAGAGGGCTGGAGCACCAGTCCTATGAAGAAAGGTTGAAGGAACTGCGCTTGTTTAGCTTGGAGAAGAGAAGGCTCCAGGGCCTTCCAGTACTTGAGGGGAGCGTATAAAGAGGAGGGGAATGGCTGATTATGAGGGTCGCAGTGCTAGGACAAGGGGGAATGGTCTTAAACTGAGACAGGGCAGGTTTCAGTTAGATATCAAAAGGAAGCTTTTCACACAGAGGGTGGTGATGCACAGGTTGCCCAAGGAGGTTGTGGATGCCCCCTCCCTGGAAGCATTCAAGGCCAGGCCGGATGTGGCTCTGGGCAGCCTGGTCTGGTGGTTGACGATCCCGCACACAGCAGGGGGGTTGAAACTACATCATCATTGAGGTCCTTTCCAACGCAGGCAATTCTATGATCCTAGGATGGTATGGATATGTGCAGTTGGAAGGGTCCCCCAAGGATCAGCAAGTCCAACCCCTCACTCCGCAGAGGACACCTAAATCAGACAGTCCTTCATCTGCAGCATCTCGGGGCCGTGCCCACTGCCCATTGGGGCAGCCCATTCCATGCCCACCGCTCTCTGGTGCAGGCCCTTTCCCTGACCCCCAGCCGCCCCTGGGGCCCCCTGCCACAGCTCCATGCCGTTCCCTCGGGCCCTGTCGCTGTCACCAGGCAGCACAGCTCAGCGCTGCCCTCCGCTCCCTGTCAGGAGCTGCAGCCGCCATGAGGGCTGCCCTCAACCTGCTCTGCTGTGGGCTGAGCACAGCCACGGTGCTCAGCTGCTCCTCAAACACTGTGCCCTCAGATCCTCCTCCATCTCTGGAGCCCTCCTTTGGACACTCTCTCCTCGCATCCTATGGAGTGGCACCCCAACCTGCACCCAGCGCTGCAGGCGAGGCCGCACAGCGCAGAGCAGAGCGGGACGGCCGCTTCCCTCGCCTGCCAGTGCTGGGCCTGACGCACCCCAGGGCACGGTTGACCCTTCTGAGTGCCAGGCGCACGGCCGCCTCAGATGCAATTTGCCGTCAAACCAGATCCCTTTTGGCCAGGCTGCGCTCCAGAACTTCACCCCTGATGTCTGCACACAGAGCCAGGGCACCCCATCCCAGGAGCAGAACCCAGCGCTCGCCCTTCTTTGTACAGATGGGAACCACCCTCATTTTGTCCAGATCTCAAGGCAAGGCCTCTTTATCCTCAAGGAGGTCAAAACTGCTCCCAGCGTAGCATCATCCACAAACTCATTGATACACCTAACAGATCTTTATTGGAACCGTAAAAACAGTATAGAGAAATGGCCTGGAAATGGAGCCCCACAGAATCCCAGCGGTGACACATAGGGCAACTGTCAGGACAAAGTCACCCAATCCTCCAGTGCAGCCATGTTTTAATTGTCAAGGAACATTCTAAGGCAGGCATAAC